AATTTAAAAACCTTCTTTTCTTTTAAGTAATATCCTATTGCAAAATTTCGATCTCCACTTTCTCTTTCAGATTGAAACCTAGAAGAAAAAATATATTTGTTCTATTTATCTACTTTCTGTAAAAGTGTGACTGTTCTTTAGTTTAATTTGTATGGCAAAGTATAGCATTAAGAACACTGAACTAAGATTCAGGACTGCTGAATTCAAGTCTTAATTAAGTGATAATTCTTTTAATCTCAATTTTCTTAGCTGTAGAATGACTGAAATGAACTCAAACCCTTCCTAGTCTTCCGATTTTGTGAACAGAAATGCTAATTTTAAAATTCCCAAATATTCTACCATTAAAGTACACTGAAAAACTGCATAATCCTCTGGCTCCCCAAAAGTACAATAAACAGTCAATTCCAACTGATGGAATCATGGAAATTTCACTGAGAGAGGGACACATAAAACGAATCTTGCAGACAAAAACAATCTTGCAGGACTCACTGGAGTAACAGATTTCAGGGGAAAGCCTAGGCACTGGCAAATTCCAGGCAGCATGAACAGTTATAAATAAGTATAAAAGACAAGACTCCACTGAAGCATAGCAAATATTCTGATGTATCTGGGGAAAAGGGTGTATGAAGAGTGGAGAAAGACCAAACTAACAAAGGAGACTGGGACGAAATTATTGAGATCAAAAAATGCCAAAGAATGCAATGGCTCCTGATTGCCCACAAAACAAAAGTTTGAAGGAAGGCTTTCAAACAAGTTACCTTGTCAGATCTGCATTTTAGAAGAATAAGTCTGATATTAGTTTGGGAAAGGGAAAAAAGAAAGGGTAACTGATATATTAGGAGACTACTGTAATGAGAGCTACAGAAAGCCTGAATTTAGGCAGTGGTGATAGGAATGGAAGGAGGGGCATGATCAAACATGTGAGCAGTTGGATAAATCTTCGAACAGGATGCGAAAGAGGAGAGACCGATGTAAACACTGGTACAAAGCCTGAATTTCCAACATGGCCTACTGAGAGGATAATAGTATTAACTGACACAAAGATCTCTAGAGCAAAGAGCAGTTTGGGAAGAGAATGAATTTTGATTTAGACAGATTAATTTGCAGTACATTTGAAAATCAACCTACAAATGTCCAGATGGCTACTGATAGTACAGGAACTGTGGGTGACACTCTTTGTATTAATTGAGGTGGACAGTCCCTTCTAATTGTACATTTTTACATTTCTATGGTCAGAAAAATAATAATGGATATGGAAAAATTCTTGTCTACTTGCCATACTTTAAAAAAAAGTCAACACAAAGGACTAACTATTCAGCAATTATCACAATGCCTGGCACACAGTTCAGTTCATCAAATACTATCTCAAGTGCTATTATCTGCCAGGTAACAGGGATATAGAAATGAATTAGAAGACACAATACTCTATCCAGGTCTTAAGGAGGTCAGAATCTAATGGTAGTTATGAGGCGAAGGGATACTATGGAATAAGTTCAATAATATATGGTAATATGAGAGCACAGAAAAGAAGTAAGACGAAGTTCATGGAAAACTTCCTGGAAAAGACACTTAAGCTGATGAATTAATGTTGATAAGGCAGATAGCCTAAAAATGTTTACCACTGAAATGTGAAGCAGTAAGTGCGAAGTAACAATAAAACAGTAGTTAGTATTTATGTTAAAACTGTCTTAACATAATTTTTCTAATTACAAGGAAACAATCAGACAAATTCAAAATGGGGAATATCCACTCCAGCCCATGGGCCAGATCTGGCCTGCTGCATGTTTTCATAAATAAAGTTTTTTTTGGAACATAACCTCATATTGTCTATGGCTGCTTTCCTACTAAAACAGAGGAACTCAATAGTTGCAACAGAGACCACATATGGCCCGTGAGCCTGAAATATTTACAGTCTGATTCTTCAAAGAAAAAGTCAGCTAATCCCTGCTCTCTAAAACAAGGAGGCTTCACTCTTCAAAAGAAGCTATTTAATAAAATCTTTAAAAGCAAGGATCTACAGCAAGTGGACTATTCTAAATAAAGAGACAAAACAGACATAATAACAAATGCAATGTATGAACCTTGATCGGTTCCTGAATTTAAAAAAATAAAAGTTGTAAAAAACATCTTGGGGACAATTAGGGGTATTTTCATACTGATTAAGGTCAGGGTATTTTAAAATTAACGCTAATGTTCTTAAGTGTGTAAGTGGTATTGTGGTTATGTAGGAGACTATCCTTATTCTCAGGATATACATGCTGAATTATTTAAGGGTGAAGTATCGTGATGTCTACAACCTAATTTCAAATAGTTCAGAAAAAGAAAAACTATGTATGTATATATTTACATATATGTGTATATAGAGATATACACACATTTTTATCCATCTATCTAAAGAGAGAGAGGTTGGGAAAAAAAAACAAGTAAGACAAACTACTATAGAATATAAGATTCCAGATATTCATTGTTTATTCTTTCAACTTTTCTGTAGACTTGAACATTTCAAAATTAAAAATTGGGGTCGAAATCAAGTCAGCCAGGGAGAGAGATAAAAGATGTAACACAAGTAGTATAAGCTAAGACAAAATTGGGTAAGTGCCAGTAATTTGAGGTGAACCTGGGGTCTCTTCTGACTGTATGATTATCTTTAAGAAGTTTATTAAAACTACTTAAAGCATTTTTAAGTGTTTCTATCAGGTAATTTAGAAATCATTCATTTACCATCGAATGACTAAATTTTAAGTAATTATTCACTGAAGTTAAGTCCTAGGACTAACAATGGAGAGAAGATTAATTCTAAATACAGTGAGCATCTATGTATATACACACACAAACATATATATAAAGCAACAAAACAGTATTTAAAATACAATTCTATTATCTAGATTTTTTATTTAAAAGGCGTGACCCCTATAAAATCATAAGTCACAAAGCAGACTCACGTTGCATTACTGAATCCAACATATTCATTACCAGCCATCTTGTTCAAAAACTGCATTACCTATAAACCAAAATTAGAAAGTATTAGTAATCAAAAAAACAAATATATAAAGAAGGTGGCATGAAAACTGAATTCTATGTTGCACTTACATAGTCGAACTTTTCAGCATTATTTACTCCTTGCTATAAAGAAATAAGAGACATAAATATGTTAATACAGGCACCACCACAGTTTAATTTTAAAGTAATACAATATCAAAATTTCAAATAGCTACCATTATAATACACTGCATTAGTACTTCTAAATCTAGGAAATGCTTCTAAAGTAATTTAATATTTACATAAAGTTTTTTGCACATTCTTTAACACCCACATGGTGAGAATGAATCAGAATTACAAAGGGAATGCTTTATTTTAAGTATATCTTTACTCAACCCAAAGTTACTGAATTTTAAATCAAGTTACCCTGAAACCCCTTATCTTTCATGACAGCACATAATCTGCTAAAATGTATGCTATTTAATTTCATATTTTAAAAAACTTAAAATAAAGTTTCACCCTTAGAAAAGAATTAAGTGTATATAAATCATAATTTCAATTACAAACAATTTACTTATACTTTTAAAGAAATCCTTAAACCAACATTAGAGTTAGAAAAATGAGTTATGTTGTAAAACTAACTAATCTTTCATAATTCCAGTATATGTAAACATTCTGGACACATTTTACTAGTATAAAGAAGGCTCTACCCTTAATATCTCTCACTTGTTATAACAATACTTGAAACTAAAAAAAAAATTATATTTTATAGTCTTTAAAAAATTAGTTTCAATTATATTTAGTATTATGCCAATCCAGAGCATGGAAGATGTATTGTTTCATCATTTCTATTTCTGACATGTTATCTATTGCAAATGTCAACAGGAAAAACCTATGTAACGTAGATCAGTTCAAGTAGCCAAATGGTTTCATTTTACCTCGGCGAAGTTTACAAAGCAGTAAGTTGTAGATCTGAAATCAAACGTATTAATTGGTGATATGCACCCAAAAGAAACAATACATCTCTAATTTATAAAAACAGGCTTAAAATAAAATAATTTGACAACTAAAGTTTTAAAAACATACTTTTTACTTTATCCTCAAAAAATCCAAAACATTATACTTTAAAATATTATTATGGGGGGAAAACATGTACCAATTAAATAATTGAATAAATCCAGGTTCATTCTCTAATTTATAAGAAGATTAGGGTGTGGCAGATAATGTGTGAAAACCTACAAATCAACTTATTTAAGAAAGATGTGCATTTATACATATACAATCAGTAGCTGCAAGGAACACCACACTATTTCATCAAAATGAGGCATTAACAAAACTTAAACAAGGATAATTTAGTTACAGCCATTTGTAATCACTATCTACGTATTTTCTCTAAAGTGTCCTTTGACATATTTTAAGTTTTCTTTCCTTATAATACATCAGAAATCAAAACGTAGAAATGTAACTCCAAAGCTGTTCAATGAAAAATAATTAAAAGAAGAAATTACCAACTTCATTGAACTGTTGCAGTTGTCAAAATATTCCATAGATCCTAATGCTGTAAAATATGTAACAACATTTAAACCACAAAAACCTTTTTAACCTTAGAAGAAGCACAAAAAAAAACAACTCTTTTGGAAATGGATGTCAGCATTTGCATTGGGATGTCACATGGATAATTACTGGTTATACAATTAATCAATGTAAAATAAACAAGTTACATTGAACTTTCATTCCCTGACCTCAACTGTACCCTGTAAAACTAATACAGGTTTCCCTCAATGAGCAGTCATGCTTAATATAAAAAAATAATTGCTTCAAGTCTAGACTATGGTCACATAATTGGTCTATTTTGTGGCTTACTAAATTAAAGCACAATTAAGTTTTGCTTTTATGTTGTTTTTAACAAACAACTGATATCTACCCATGTCTATCATTATGGAGTATAACATTTTGGCTAAACTATTCAAAATGCTCTAGGCAGATTATGTAAATAGGGCAAAAAAATACAGGCATACCTCGTTTTACTGTACTTCACTTTACTGAGCTAAAATGCAGATACTGCATTTACAAATTGAAGGTTTGTGGCAACCCTGTGTTGAGTAAGTCTATTGGCACCATTTTTCCAACAACATGTGCTCACTTTGGTAATTCCCTCAATATTTCAAACTTTTTCATTATTATTGTATCTATTATGGGAATCTGTGATCAGCCATCTTTGATGTTACTATTATTATGTAATTGTTTCGGGGTGTCATAAACCTTGCCCACGTAAGACATTAATCCATAAACGTAGTGTGTGTCCTAACTGCTTCACCTACTGGCCAGTCCGCTGTCTCTCTCCCTCTCCTCAGGCCATCCTATCCCCCAAGACACAATATCAAAATTAGGCCAATTAATAACCCTACAATCACCTATAAGTATTCAAGTGAAAGGAAGAGTCCCATCTATCTCACTTTACATCAAAAGCTAGAAATGATAAAGTTGGTAAGGAAAGCATGTGGAAAGCCAAGAAAGGCCTAAATGTGGCCTTCTTGTACCAGTTAGCCAAATTGTGAATGCAAAGGAAAAGTTCTTGAAGGAAATTATAAGTACTACACCAGTGAACACACAAATGATAAAAAAGTGAAACAGCCTAATTGCTGATATGGAGAAAGTTTGAGTGGTCTGGATAGAAGATCAAACCAACCACAACATTCCCTTAAGCCAAAGCCTAATTCAGAGCAAGCTCTACCTCTCTTCAATTCTATAAAGGCCAAGGAAGGTGAGGAAGCTGCGGAAGAAAAGTATGAAGCTAAGCAGAGGTTGGTTCATGAGGTTTAAGGAAAGAAGCTATCTCAGTAAGACAAAAGTGCAAGGTAAAGCAGCGAGTGCTGATGTAGAAGCTGCAGCAAGTTATCCACAAGATAACATCATTAAGGAAGATGGCTACACTAAACAGATTTTTCAATTTAAACAAAAGAGCCTTTTACTGGAAAAAGATGCTATCTAGGACTTTCATAGCTAGAGAGAAGTCAATGACTGGCTCGAAAGGCTGACTCTCACGGTAGGGGCTAGTGCTGCTGACTTTAAGTTGAAGTCAATACTCATTTACCATTCTAAAAATCTGAGGGCCCTTAAGAATTATGCTAAGTCTACTCTGCCTGTGCTCTATAAATGGAACAACAAAGCCTGGATTACAACACATCTGTTTACAGCATGGTTTACTTAATATTTTAAGCCCACTGTTGAGACCTACTGCTCTGAAAAAAATGATTGCTTTCAAAATATGGCTGTCCATTTATAATGCATCTGATCCAAGAGCTCTGATGGAGAGGTACAAGGAACTTAATGTTGTTTTCATGCTGCTAACACGCATCCATTCTGTAGCCCATGGATCAAGGAGTAATTTCAACTTCCAAATCTTATTATTTAAGAAATACAGTTCAGGCCGGGCACGGTGGCTCACGCCTGTAATCCTAGCACTCTGAGAGGCCAAGGCAGGTGGATCGCTCAAGGTCAGGAGTTCGAGACCAGGCTGAGCAAAAGCGAGACCCTGTCTCTACTAAAGAAATAGAAAGAAATTATTTGGACAACTAAAAATCTATATAGAAAAAATTAGCCGGGCATGGTGGCGCATGTCTGTAGTCCCAGCTACTTGGGAGCTGAGGTAGTAGGATTGCTCGAGCCCAGGAGTTTGAGGTTGCTGTGAGCTAGGCTGACACCTCGGCACTCTACTCCGGGCAACAGAGTGAGACTCTGTCTCACAAAAAAAAAAAAAAAAAAAATACAGTTCATAAGGCTATAACTGCCATAGATAGTAATTCCTCTGATGGGTCTTGGCAAAGTAAATTGAAAACGTTCTGGAAAAGATTTACCATTCTAGATGCTATTTAGGAACATTTGTGACTCACGGGAAGAGGTCAAAATATCAACATTAACAGGAGTTTGAAAGAAGTTAATTTCAACCCTAATGGATGACTTTGAGGGATTCAACACTTCAGTGAAGGAAGGAACTGCAAGATGTGGTGGGAATAATTCTAATAATTCTTCTAATTCAAGAGAATTAGAAGTAGAAGTAGAGCCTAAAGATATGACTTGCTGCAATCTCATGATAAAAGTTCACTAGGAATTGCTTCTTATGGATGAGCAATCTCCAGAAATGGTTATCTTCTCCTGGTGAAGATGCAGTGAACACTGTTGAAATGACAAACACAGGATTTAAAATATTCCATAAACTTAGTTGACAAAGAAGCAGCAGGGTTTGAGAAGAATGACTTTAATTCTGAAAGAAGTTCTACTGTGGGTAAAATGCTGTCAAACAGCATGGCATGATACAGAGAAATCTTTTATAAAAAGAAGAATCAATAGATACAGCAAATTTCATTGTTGTCCTATTTAAGAAATTACCACAGCCACCACAACTTTTAGCAACCCCCACTCTGATCAGTCAGCAGCCATCAACATGGAGGCAAGACCCTTCACTGGCAAAAAGATTATGACATTCTAAAGGCTCAGATGATACTAAAGATTTCTTAGCTATAAAGTATTTTTTAATTAAAGAATGTATATTGGTTTTTTTAAACACACGATAAAGTACAGTATAAACATAACTTTCATATGTACTAGGAAACAAAAAAATTGTGTGACTTGTTTTATTGCAATACTCAATCTACTGTGGTGGTTTGGAACCAAACTTGTAATTTCTCCAAGGTATGCCTGTACTGAATGATTGTGTTGACCAAAGAATGTTTCTCTCCAAAACTTCCCCCCATTTAAATGTAAAGGCATTTAACTTAAGTCAATAAAATATGCCTGCCTCTGTATTCTTGGAAAGATTTCATGTACTCTAGAGATATATGGGAACTAATAATCATTCAAGATGCCATGTTATTTTAATTTTGAAAAAGTTATAGTAAAAAGTTCATTTGCAAAGCTCTTAGGAAAAGCACAGACATACATATACAAAATAAATTAGAGCAAACCCCTCATTCAAAAAACAAAACCCAAAACTATAAAAAACCATCGTAATTATGATTATGGAGAGCAATGGGGTGAGAGGGGTGAAGGAATAGATGTTACAAAAATTGAAGCTGGAAACGGGTACATAGGGGCTGATTATACTATTAGTTTATTTTATACATGTTTGAATTTTTTCATAATAT